GAGGAGGAGGGAGGTGCCGGGGCCCAGGCTCAGGTGGAGGCGGCGGAGGGAGTGGGCTTTGCTCCGCGCCCAGCCCCGTGCCAGGTGCTCAGGGTCCAGATCCCTCCCCTCCCTCCCTCCCCCCTTCCTTCCGGTTTACTGAGCACTTGTCTGTGCCAGGGGCTGGGGCACCAAGGCAGAGCTCGCACCCCAAGACCTCACCGCCCCGTGAGAGCATCACCCAGAAAACGCTGTGACCTCGGGGGGCGCAGGGGGCGCCCCGAGGGACTCGGGAGGTTCCCAGGGGACTTAGAGCCGAGCTGGGCCCTGAAGGATGAGGAAGGGCGTTCCTGGTGGAGGGAACTGCATGTGCGAAGGCGGGAGGCAGTACAGAGCCCGCTGGTCGGGAACTGGGGGGGCGTGGAGCCCAGGCCCAGGAAACCTGCGGGGTGAGGCTGGGGTCCCCGAGCCGTTACCTGGACCCTCTGCCTCCTCGACCTGCTTTGCTCCCGGCCCCTGGCCAGGAAGAGGCCCGCCCCACCTGCCCAAAAGGAGGCGGTGACCTGGAGAGGGAGTGAAGAGGAGGGCCCACGGGGGTGTGTTTTGGGATTGCTTCTCAGGAATCTCCTCCTCCTCCTCCTCCTCCTCCTCCTCCGACACCATTTTAACCAGGCGTCGCTAGGGGAGCCGCCTGGAGCTGTGCTGGGGGAGGGACCTTGGCTCCCCCTCACTGAGCCTCAGTCTTGGCATCTGGAATATGGGCACGACGACCCAGCTGTCGGCTTGTCAACCCAAGCGCCCCAGGAAGCGGAGGCCCAGGCTGGACTCATTGGGGGAAGGGCCGGGAGGGGAGGGCGGGGCCGGGGAGGCCTGCACCATCCTGCAGCCGGGGCTCCGCCAGGCAACGGGAGTCCCTGCGCCACGTGGCTGCGCTTCCCTCCCAGCAGCCGCCTGCTGTGCCCACTGCACTCACTGCCCAGGAGCCCCCGGGGAGCGGGAGGCAGGGCCGAGGCACAGACACAGGGATGGGGCTCCCTGTGAGCCCCGCAGTGAGAGGTCTGGGGGTCCCCCTGCTGGGCACAGGGCTCAGCTGTTCCCGGAACCCGCTCAAAGCCCCACAAGGAGGGGCAAGGAGGGGCCCGTTTCCTGGGGCTGCTGCTCCGATGACTAAGACCGGCCGAACCCAGCAGGAACAGGGGCTCTCCCCGTTGTGGGGCCAGAATCTGAAATCGAGGTGTCGGGGGCTGGGCTCCCTGGGAGGGTCCTTCCTGCCTCTTCAGCTGCTGGGGGCTCCCGGGGCTCCTTGGCTCCTGGCCGCATCCCTTCGGTCTTGGCCTCGGTCTTCACGTGACCCCTCCTCGTTCATGCGTCCACACCCGCCTGTTCAGTGGCCCCACCCCTTGTTCACAGGACCACCCCTCGTTTACGTGGCTCCACCCCCTTCACATGCGCACTTCCGGCTGGTCACGTGGCCCCATCTTGTCCACGTGCCCACTCCCCGCCGGTCACGTGGCCCGTTCCCTTGCTCTCATGATGGAAGTTGCTAGTGGCTGTGTTTGGGGGGAGGAACGGGGGAGGGGGGGGGGAGGAA